CGTCAGAAGATGGTCTCTTGAGGCGAGCACCGCACGCCTCGGTTTGATCTCTGGATATGGCGTAGACTGTTTATGTATGTTTGGACAAATAGGGGTAGTTGGGCATCTTAGTGCTTAGTGAATTGATGCATAGATGGTGTGCAGGGCTTTGGAGCCGAAGACCTGGAAAGAAAAGGCGAGCATGGGTATATCCGAGTGAAGCTACGGTGAGTTTTCGGGCTGAGGGTCTTTTACGGCCGTAGAGCTTAACTTAGATGGATTGGGTTGGCACGGGGGTTTTGCGAAGCGAGCGTTGGAACTCTCATCGATGATGTTGATTACTATTGATGGATTTACTTTGTGCCAAGAAGGTGGCACAACTACTGCCATGGGTTCAAGCTTATAAACGAGGATGATAGATTGGCACTGTACGTAAAGAGGGACCTGGATGAGAAAGGAAGCATTAATGATAATGAGAAATAGAAAGATGAGTAAGCTACAAGATTGCTGACGAGTACATAGTATAAGTGCTGGCTGAAAGAAAGAAAGATCTAAAGTGTCATGACAAAGTTTTCTCAGGAGCAGTATTCCACCCAATTGTCCAGATCCATGTTCTTAATGACAGTGGAGAAGTCGGAGGCGCTGTCAGCATCGCAAGCAGATGACTTCTGCTTGGTCGTGACTTCATCGTCATTATTCGTGTCGTCTCCCTTGGGGTATTCGATGTGGAAGACAGGCTTTTTCGCATCCGTGAAAGCGGCATATGTATCACACTCTGCATACTGAGCACACTGCTCATTGACGGACCACTGCATGTTCTTGATGACGGAGCCAATGATGGCACCACCATTCTTGAGTCCGACAGACAGTCCGCGGCTGTGAGCCTGCCCTGCGAGCCAGTTGACAAACTCGATAGCATCGTCCTGGGTCAGCTTCAGGCCGTTCGAGTTGTCATAGGCGTCGATGTTGTCTGGGTCGACTCCGTCGCACCCCTTTTCCTTTGCCAGGTCCATGCGCGTCTGCATGATTTTGCGCACATTCTTGGAATTGGTGTCGAGCCAGCGCTCACCGGGCCAGTCGTCAAGGTTGGACCCCTTGTCTGAGCTGGTGAAATTGCCGGCATCAGCGCGCCATTGTTCGTAGGTACCGGCAGAAAAGTAGCAGATCACTTTGCGGTTCATGGCTTGCAGGCTGGAGATGGTGGATTTGGGGTTGTCAAAGAGGTCAATGTCATAGACGTCCGCGTCGATCTTGGTGTTGTTCAGCGGGTAAAGAAGCTCAATCTGCCACTTGACACCAACTGCTGGTTGCCATTTCACAGTAGTGTTGCCTGTGGATGTATCGTTTCCTCCGCTACCACTTCCACTTCCGCTTCCGCTGTCGTCGTCATTGTCGTTGTCGCTGCCGTGATTCAGGCCAACTCCCAGACCAACACCGAGGCCAACGCCAATGGCGACAATTATCAGGCCAAGAGCAGAGAAGAGGAGGACCTTCTTCTTCGTGGACCAGGCCCACCAGCCACCTTTAGACATGTTTGTAGAGTGAGAGTAAATAATAGAATGAAATTAATGTGAAGATGGTCAAGACAAAACGAGATGTATTTGACTGATCAAGGGAGGTCGGGGGTTTAGATCACCGTGGTCCACCTGGCATAGTCAAGAGGACGCGGGATCGGCGTTGTGGGTGAGATTGTGATTGATAAAGAAAGATTAATATGGACAAGATAACAAATCAAGAGTGGCTATGGGGAATAGACAAATTTAAGCTCAAAGAGAAAAAAAAGGGTCCAGGGTCGCCGGACTGGGGGCTGAGCCTTTTCGGGGGCGATTTGAGGCGATTCTCTTAGGCAGCCGCCATAAGGCGGATGGGGATGGGATGTCACCCTACGAGCTGAACTTTAGGGTTTGTTTGGCGGGTGAATGATAATTTAGAAACAAATAGATCCTGTGGCTTTGAGTGCGTCAAATGATGCAGGGGGAGGGGACGGGGGGAAAAGTGGAAGGTCTGCAGAGTTTGAAAGCAAAGAAAGAGAGACCAAAGACGGTAGCCTGGACTGGACAAAGCGAGAAATCCCGCGAAAGCGCAAGGCAAAGTCGAAAGGTGTGACCGCGCCACAGTTTTGGATTGGGGCCGAGCAAAAAAGTGCAGCAAGTGCTGACAGTGGAGCAGACCCAAGGACCACATGGGTTCGAAATAAGGTGGTGGAACCAATGTTGATCTACCGCGATCCTCGATCAGAGTTGGGTCTGGATTCAGGCCCTCAATAACATCTCTCAATCAAGTTAGCTTTCCGTGGTCCATAGGCGAGCACATTCAAAAATCCCCAGGCCCAGCCACTTCTAGCGCGAGAGTATCTTTTTTTCCCCCTTCCGCCATCTGCCGAGCTAATGCTGTTCGGATCCCAAAATACTGAAACTAGAACTAAATTAGACAAAGCCCTCGCCAAGGAACTAGACAGCGCTAGAGGTCGAGGGAAGATGCAGCGCCTCCTCAGTTTCCAGACCGAGACCGAATGATGATTTATTTCGTTTTCTTCGGATTCTTTTTCTCTGTATAATTACTGCGTACACACAAACGAGGTTGAAATTAAAGCAATGGCCATCACAGGGCGTTGGCCTGCTCAGCCAGCCCATTCAGGAACACAACGGTACCTCCCGAGCGCCCGTTAATTTGAGCGTATCGCCCTGTGACAGATCGTATGTGATGTGGTGTGGTGATGAAGGGGGGGGGGTGAAGATGTCAGTCTTTAGCCTCCTTGGACCATCCAAAACACACCCAATCGCTGTTCCCATCACCGATGCATGCGCTGTCAAGCGCCATGAAGCAAGCCATCGGTGGATTCTCTCGATCGATGGAGCCATTTCGGATTTAGTTTCTTTAGTTTCTCTAGTTTCTTTAGTCCTTGGCAAGCACCCGCCGGGTAAAGTGCCACATTTGCAAATACAAAAATACAGTACCGCGTACCGTACATGGAGTTTCGGAAAACTAGTGTGTAATTTAGCAAGCCGTATTGTATTAGCCGGGTATGTATCATATTCCTAATCCCACCCCAGCCCTAACCAGACCACGTCCCCTCGGCATGGTTCGATTACTGATCCAGCTATTTCCCATCACCCGGGAATGATCGGCCTGAATCTAAGACCTGAGCAGAAATTGATCGTCCTATTAGCTCTTAACTTGCCGGCACTGAGTTCCGAGCAAGGATTTCCCCCGTCATCTGATGCTAGCAAACATTCGCTTCTGCATTAGCACACAAAATTCCCTGATTTCAAGGACCCAAAAGAGAGTCCAATTTGTGATCAGGTACGGGTAATTCCGTAATCAACTCAGGGACCTACAGTACCTTCAATTGCGAGCACTTGGTCGCTTGGATTTGCCTCGTACTTTCAATATTTTCTCCACATACTCCATCCATGGCCCCCACGGTGGGGAGGAAGGGGAGGAAGGGGATGATGGACGGGTGGAGTCCCGGCTGCAATTGAAACAACAAAATACGAGATCAAATCAAAGCTAGTAAAGCAGACAGCATAGCTTTCTAGCTCCATTAGGATCCGCCACCTAGATAACCCAATCGCCTGATTCTCCCTTCCGTAATCCCGCGGACGCCACACCCGCAAGATGTCTAAGTTCATAACGTTCCGTCGACATCTCGTCGTATGGACATGCATACTAGTGAATCTTCGGCCGCCTTCGGGAAATTTGAAAATACACACGCCATGCCAAGACCCGCTAACCCTTCCCTACGCCTCAATTCGAAACTTCCCCGCGCACCGTATCTCCTTGTTGGGTGTTGAAGGCTGAGAGCAGGCCGCGTGGACTAATCTTTTTCCCGCCCCTCACTCTACTCTCGACTCTGCAGGTTTGGGGCTCTTGGCCCCTCCTCAGGGCTATTAGGGCTTACTAAAGCCCAGCCGTCGCGACACTAGTCTCGCATCGATATAGCGACTTCGTTGGCCACCGAATAGTCGCTTTGAGCCAATTATCTTGGCACGGGATGGAGCCGAGAAAGGCGAGGCGAAGAAAAAATCGACGCCGCGCGGAATAGATTAATTCAAACTATGCCGGGTATCTTGCTATTTGGCGAACAGCGGTCGTTCCTCGCACGGCTCGGGACAATGGGTTTTGTTTTCATTCCAAGGTTGCCGACTTCCATATGTATTGCGTATGTGGTAACACAACTGCCCCCCGTATTCCCTGTCAAACCATGGATGTACGTATGTACTCCATGGCTTGCTTGCCCCGGATTTTGGTCCCTGCGTTCCCGGGGAATGCTGTGTAATCGGGCTGGGGAGAGGGCTTCAGGAGCATATTTCGGAAACTTCTATATTTGCCGAGTGGCCTGCTCGATGCGCTGGACCTGCGTATGACAGCGGCGCCATAAGCGGGGGATAAGCACTCGTAATTCGGGATGACAATGTGCTCAAAGATGCCGTGTCTGACACTTTAAGTGATCTTTTCTGTTCCCTTTTGGAACGGGGCTGACGCCTTTGTAAAGCTTGGGTCATCTTTTGGAAGTCGTGAAAGAACAACACGAAGGTTCAGGTCGCCGCGCTGTGTTACCTTTTACAACAAGTTCGGTTGGTCCCTGCATCTGTAGAGCCAGCTTCGTCATATGACTTGACCGCTCTTTGAAAATTGGGCTTGACGCTGTTGGAATGCGGAAATGTGATGTATCTCATGTACTCCGTCCTTCGTATTCATATATTCAGGAACATGTTTATTTCAATTACTACCTTTGGGGCTTAGTATTATCGGGAAAAGTACTCCGTACCAGTATGATGTCAAGCGCGATGAAGTATGAAATTATACTATGTATCACAATATATCAAACAGAAAAAGCAAGATTTCGTTTCACAACATGCAGAATAATCATCTCATCCGTTCCAATTAGGATCCATTATTGATATTTCTCTAGACCAAGTGCATAACAAAATAAAGTCAGATAAAAGAAGCACATATTAAAAAGGACCAAAGGAGATATTCTGGTGTTTTTGACAGGCCAAGGCGTTGTCGGTGACTATTTACAGGGAAATAGGGGTGCTCAGAGTGAACGAGACAGGGGAGCCGGAAAGCTGGACCCAGACAGTGGTAGGGTCACTGCCGACCTGCTCAACGGTGAAGCCCTTGGTGTCGCTGGGAGCACTGGGGAAGGTCACGGGGATGGGGCTGCTGCAGCTGCTGTCAGTAGCAGAGACGGTGACGCCAGTGATCTTCTTGTTGCTGATGGTGTACTTCAGCGAGTAACCACACTTGTCACGGTTGAAGCGGGCCAGGAAGGAGGCGGACATGTCCGCGTGCTTGAGAGTGATCAGGGGCCAGGTGACGAGGCGAACGAACTCAGCAACTTGAGTCTCAACCCAAGCCTGGAAGATAGAGTACTGTCCAGAGACACCGTTGATGGTGATGGGAGAAACTCCGGTGTTGCGGAGATTGGCCTGGTGGAACATGTAACCGTCGTGGTGAAGACCGAACAGATGGCGCATGGTATCGGCCTTCTCAGTTGCGAGCAGGTCATCGAACGTTCCGCTACCGGCGGAGGTATCGATCCACTCCTGCAGGGTGCAGGCTGGAGTATCGCAGTTGTAATAGATGCGAGTAGCCCAGCGAGGGTTGACCTGCATGCCGTCGAAACCATCGGTAGAAGTCACAGTGAAGTAGGGCCACATCGAGTTCGCGGTGTTCAGGAGGGCAGGGCGGGTGTTGTCACCAACACAGTTCGTGATACCGTTGTCCCACCAAGCTCTCAGAGCATCTCCGTTGTGGAGACCAGTGATGGCAGGAGGAATGATACCGTTGGCAGTGAAGTGGATGCCCTGGTCGATACCAGTAGCCTTGAGCCAGGCTTGGTTGAAGCTAATCTCGTTGTTCACATCGAAGTAAGTGGCGTTGTTCTGCTCCTCGTGAGTGAAAGTGTGAGAGATAGATCCAAAGCTGTTCAGGTTGGCAGTGGTGGTCCACCAGTTCAGAAGGGGGTCCAGCTTATTGCAGGTAGTGGTCCAGTCATAAGCAGTGGGCGTTGCGGGCCACAAGTTGGTACCGGAGCCCAGGGGCTTCTGGAACTCGAGGGCAGTGTCCGGAGGGGAATCGTATTCAATAGCACCATCGTTACACTTGCTCGCTCCAGAGTCTGTGCTTGAAGAATTCTCAATGTTACCATTGCCGTTGTGGCCGACCTCGGGGAAGTAGATACTTCCAGCGTTCATCTTCGCAAGAATAGTGGGGATCCAGTCACGGACACCATCCATGTCTTCAGTGGTGATACGGAAGGTGTTACCACTGGGGTAGTAAATATCGGTCTCGAGGAACATGTCGTCGATCTGAGTGTTCAGGTTGACACGACGATATCCGGCGTACAGTCCACGGGTGATCCAGGTAATCCAGGCATGCTGCAGATAGTTGGAAGTAGCACTCCAGGTGGTGTCAAATCCAATGAAGTACGCCAGCTGCTCACGACCATCAAAGTTGTTGATGACAGCAGCAACAGAGTCACTTGCGGTGACAGAGTTGGCAGCAAACTTAGCAATTTGCTTGGTGGAAGTAGTGTTGCTGATGGTAGCCGGGTAATGCCAGAGACCCGCAGTGCTGACGCCAGCTCCAGTACGCAGACCAGAGGTGGGGAAATCGCTAATATCAGTGAAAGAGATGTCCTGCTCGACTCCGGTGTCACAGCATCCACCTCCCACAGCACTGGCACCATAGTTGGGGCCGGGGTAAACATCATATTGGACCATACGAACACTGTACGCGAGCTGGTAGGCATACAGCTGGTTCCACTGGTCGGTGGTCAGGGCGCTCTGGAAACCAGTAGCGCCGTAGTCGTAGCTGACCTCGGAAGCAACGACGATACCGCCGAAGTTTCCACCGGAGCTGGAGTTTAGAGCAGGCAGAGAAACACCAGTCTGGGGAACAATGAGGGTGGTGAAAGGAATACCATAGGAATTGAGACCAGAAGAAGCAACGCCAGCGGAGGCAGAGTCACGGGCAATCACAAGAATGTTGGCAGCAACATTGGCGTTGGTGATCGCCGTGGCAGTAGCCGTAGCCGAGATAGAAATACCAGTCGAAGACATGCTGGTGGTGACAGAAGGACTGGATACAACTGGCGAAGATGAGGCAGTTGAGCTCGAAATAGGCTTGCTGGTAGCTGAGCTTGAAGCAGAGCTAGAGGGTACTGTGCTGGAAACAGCGGAAGATGACGCAGAGGATGATGCTGCGGATGAAGAAACTGCACTAGTAGGAGTTCCAGAAGGTGAGCTGGTAGCCGGGCTTGATAGCGGGGACGAGCTAGCGGGCGAAGAACTGGCAGCAGAAGAGCTCAAAGGCGATGAAGTCACACCAGTGGAAGCAGCTGTGCTACTAACAGGAGTCGAAGTTGGGGAAATAGGCTGAGTGCTAGAGCCAACGTTCGATGACGAAACACCGGAGCTAACGGGATTTGAGACAGGAGAGGAAGTGCCAGTAGCAAGCGAGGAGGAAGAATGAACAGCAGAAGAGCTTGGGGAAGAAACAATTGCCGAAGAGGAAGTCAACGACTGGGACGGGACTGAAACAGAGCAGTCGGGGCAGCTGGATGAAGACGAAGAGGGAACCGAGCTCGATGAACCTGGATCGTCCGACGAAGAAACCGAAGTCACAAAGGTCGACTGTGGGGCGGTACTAGTAGATGAAACAGTCTCAACAGAGGAAACAATACCACTTGTCGTGGTGACAGAAATAGACAAAGAAGGAGACAATGATGAGGTCAAAGACGAAGTCAACGATTGGATAGTGGTAGTAACCACAGGAAGTGTAGTGGTAGAGTCAACGACAGCAGTGGTAGTAGTGTGATGACTCGGGGGATTGGGATGAGTAGTATGAGGACGCTCCCAGGCAATAACGACAGGCTTGTTCTTTGGCCACACACCAGGGCGAGTGTTGCAGGTTATAAGGCCGTAGAAACACCCAACCTTCAGAGCCCAGGTTGGAACGTGGACCATCGTGATATCGACCAGGGGTAAAAAAGTGCGAGAAAAATAGGAACTAACGCACCAGCACCATGCAATAACTAACGAGTGACAGGGTCGAGTGCAGAACGAATACACGAGGCTTGCATATCAACTCCTAGAAGGGCATGGTTGTTGACCCTTTTATGTAGTGGGTGTGGAGTACGCTGAAGTCTCCGAGGCCTATCGCCTTTACTGTCTATGAAGAAAGCTTTTTACGAAGGACAATTTCCACGATGCAGTCATCTTTCTCGGCCTCTCCATCGAGGCATTGTGGCGTGCCTTCATGGAGTAAGATTGATAGGATTGATGAAAATATTTCCTGGGGACCGTGAGCCTAGTGATCGGTTGATTCGGAACAGATCGATTTCAGAGGGCCATTGATCTATTCTAGCGGATCTTTTCGGTGTTCTTATTGGCTTGTTTGCGGATACAAACGAGAAAATTCTGTTCGGTGGATATCCTCTGCAGGTCTGTGATGCTTTCAGCCCTGGATGCATCTTGACTAGTACATCAAAGGAATATCATAAGCGAAAATGAGACAGAAAAAAAAAATACAAGGAGAAAAAAGAAGGTCAATCAGGTTAGCGAACTGAGACAACAAAGACGCTATTTTTTATCGGGCAAAAAGCACCGAAGAACTCAACAACTGTTCGGTGTTTGGCGTGGCCAAATGCATAGTACCGAGTCTATGCTCCAAGTCTAGCGTCCCGATGAGATTACCCACTTTTGGGGCTCATCGAAAGACATAGGCCCAGGTGGCGCTGCGCGGGGGTTGCAGATACATCAACCAGGGGAAAGACACAGGTCCAGACCTTGGCGCCGAGGAGTGCATGGGGGCGTTGAATGGTCCCTGGTCCCTGGAAAGTAAATATGCCAATAATATGTGACGGTATTAAGTGGAGATGATACTAGTAATATTGATTTGCAAATTCTACGCGGTCATAATTTCAATACCGGCAATGCGTTTCGTAAGTAATAATTACGAAGTTTTGGTACCGCCCGGCTAATTCTCATCAGGATAAGGCCCCCCCTCAACATCTCAACTTAGACTGTTTCCCATGGCTCCATTAGTACGTTAGCACCGGCGCTAATGTTACCGTGTAAATTCGAAAAAAAAAATTCCAAAAAATATCAGGAAAAAAAGATGATGATTCACAGAAAGCAGACACGCCGGCCGAGATTTTTTTGATCCATCAGCTGAGTGGATCGGCCTAGCCTAGCCAACACAGACTTGGTCGTGGAGGTTCTTGGCCCGTGTTTGGAGCCCACACCATGTATCAATTGGGGTTCCAAGACGGAGAAAGGCACGGAGGGTGGGAGGATTCAAAGTATCTCAATCATATTGACCTGTTCAAGTTAGCATCGGGTTGATAGAGGAGATGTCCACACATATATCTCGAGATTGGATAGAGAACAATTGGGGGTCGCTACATCCAAGTTTCATCTGCAGTTGAAGAAGACCTTGCAAGCAGCCCCCGTCAAAATGATACCACAATTATGGATCGCATGGGGAGCGGGGCTTTGGCTCACACATGGCACTGAGTACATACTAGTTGCAGCACGGGTCAAGTCCATCGCGTGTCTCGCCAATCCCTGCTGCATATCCCGGTGGCTTTCCTGGGCAAAGAGAAAACTTTGGTGGCTATTTTTGTCCTTTGGGCTCAAAAGTGTCCTTGTCTTGCAATCGAATCAAGGTACACACGGACCGTCATTCTCGACAGAGAGCCCAAAGAGTCAAGAAAAAGCGAGCGGCTGATACGAGCATCTTTTTGTTGTCTTTCGCGCTAAAGGAGGCAAGCTACAGTAGCTTTTGAGTCGGACTTATCCGTGACCGCAGCAAAGTTGTAACCTCGCTTGCTTCGTTGACATTTTTGCCTTTGCGCATATTCTCTCGTTACTCATATTATCTGCTTGAACTTCCGGTTTGCCGTCCAAATCTTGTTCTCTTTGACACTCGTTTTCGACATTTGCTCTTCCCACAGCAAGCTTCAAAATGCAATAGCGCTTATTTTCAGAAGTGGCAACTCATCTGACACAGAAAGGGTTTCACTCCATATCGTTTCAAATCCATTCGTTTCTCGTTTGCACTTTAAGTGTCTAAGGAGCCCCAAATTACATCGAAGAGAATCACCAACAATTTGCTATGGCGAAGATTCTCTCGGTCACCCCATTGGGGTGGAGCCAGATGAAGGATCACTGGTGGCAGTTTGTACGTTTCTCTGGTCTACTTTACAATCGACCATCGATTCTGGTGCATGATTAAGAGCAAGTGAAACGCTGACATTTTAATAATAGTTGATGATCGGAGTTTTGTTGGCCTGCATTGCCATCGGATCCGCGCATATCATATGGTCTTTGGTTTCAAAAGCAATTAAATCTTACAAGGTAAGCAGCTCACACATGGGAGAAGGTGCATCCTGCATACAATTACTCATATCGATCAATTTTCCTAGTCGAGATCGGTTCCAGACAAAATCCCTTCAAATGTTTCTCAGCGCCTCGAAAAGCTTGCCAACAGGAGTCTTCAGCTCACTGCGCCCCCAAACAAGCAGAAACCGTCCTCCTTCGGGGTTTACCTCGGCGCCTTCAATAAAACTCCTACGGAATCACAAAACCGGCTGTTGCAACAATGGGACCTCTTAATTGTCGACCCGTTCCAAAATGGAACTACACAGGCCATCACTCAACATGGTCAAAGCCGGGTGCTCGGTCGAATCGATTTTTCGCAAGTTGTCTCGCCAAAGGAATCAGCTCTTCTGGCCATTGACAGAATTGAAGAGGTTTTGGCGAACAACTTCAACGACACGGCATATTCTGGAATCCTGTTCGCCAATTGGGAAGATAGATTCTCTCCATCTGTCCAGGGGAAATTATTCGAGGTCATCAAGGGTCTCGGGTTGGAAGTATACCTAGAGACACAATCACCCAATTTCTTGACGAGCCGAAAGTCTCTTCAGAACAACGCCATTTCCGGCCTTGTGGTTCGAAACATCAGCATTTTGCCCTCTGGTGAAAAGCGAGACTATTTCCAAATGGCAAAACTGCAATCCACAATCAAGTCATTTGTCTCCGAATCTTGTATGCGAGATTTCGTTGTTCTTGCATGGGAAACCCTCGACAACGATGCCATTCCCTCGAATGCCATTATTCGACGCTCGATTCAGTGGTGTAGTTTCTACAGTGCCGTTTGCTGGATTGGCACCGAGGCTGCTTTACAGGATGCTGAATTGAATGTGCCTACAGTCGAGCCTCTCCCTGCATTCGGATGGTTAAAAGATGCCGATATCATGAAAACCCATGATACATGGCGCTCGAACCTTCACATTTCTCCATTTGCTGACACCCAGACTGGATGGGATACCATTCGTGAGCATTTCTCGGAGGTTGACGGACTTCTTGCTTCTCAGGAGACGGAAGCTATCTCGCCAGAGAGCCCAGGCGCCCAACTTCGCGATCCTCCAGAGTGGGTGGCTCAGGTGAAATCACAGGGAAGCCCACTTTCCATCTCCATGTCTGGCCAAGAATACACAGCGTTGGGCTGTTTCCCTCTTGGATCAGAATCAACGACAATGGCCTTCGCTGAAATCCTTCAGTCGCAACAACGCCTCAAGGGCCTCAGCCTTCTTCATCCAGTTCCAGCATCCAAGGTCCAAAACATCGGTCTGCTTCTTCGTAACTTTCAAGCGTCACTTGAAACTTCAAATAAAGATGAGCACCTTATTGCAACTATCAAGGAGCTGGCTGACAAGGCATCGAATGAATCTCTCAATGTCTACCTTGCATTGGACTCTGGGTTGAGAAAATCATCCGATGTTCGATTCTGGTCTGTTTATCAACTTGACGGTGACAACGATAAGACCGAAATTTTTGTTTCGAAGAATGCCCCTGGCTTAGCCGGAACTATCTTGCACACATTTCTCTCTGCAAAAGGGTTTTCGCGACATGTCTGCTTTGAAACTGAAGTCGCGATGGCAAGCTGGTCGCAGGATTTGGTGCCAGAAACTGATCTCCCTCGACGCATGACCCAGGATATCGATGTCCTCAGCCCGGAAGAGCGATTGCTGCTCCTGCAACATTTGTCCCTGACAGATTCGCAAACTACTCTCTCAGAGACTATTTGCTCATACATTCGCAAGCAACTCCTCGATACCCCCTCATTCGCCCTGTTGAAAGAACTCAACACTGTGGGTTACCTCGATGGATCTGTCTCTGCTGAGGAGCTGATCCAATCCCGCATTGATTGGTACAAAGAACAGGAGTGCCCGCATCCATCGGTTGCCAGTTCCCTTCGCCTTTTCAACCAGGTCGACGAACTTTTCACCCAAATTCTGAAGTACCACCGAGAAGATGAGCTTGCAGGCATCACCAAGGGTCTCTGTGAGCTCACGCAGGATGGCAACATTGATGCTTATATCGACATGATGACTCTTTCTCTGTTCTGTGCGGCGCGAAAGGGGGCCTTTGATGAGATCTACGCAGAGGTCACAGACCGCAACCCGCTCTTCAACCTTCACCCCGACCAATCGGCAGCCTTTGCGGAGTCATTCGCGCTCGGATCTCGCTGTGAAGCATATTTCGATGTTGCTCCCAGTGTTTTTGGCAAACTTTTATCTGATCGGTTCAGAGAACATTACACATTGCCGCAGAATCAACCCCCGGACTGGGCAAATGGCGCCACAGAGCTTGCGACTGCTTACGCAGGAGCTCAGATTGATGTAAACCCTGACGACAAATCGAAGCCCATGCGTAGCTACCAGCGCTTTACTTTCCTCAGTGTTTTTGCCATTCCCGCTTTGATCGACATTGTTCTGCTCACTCTGATCGGACGTGGTCTGTATCTTTCTGCTTACATGACCGTCGAAGAGCAAAATAGCGCGACTTGGGCATTAATGATTTCTCTGCTCCTCTCGGGAGGCATTGGTACAATGATTGCTTGTGGTGGCCCCTACTACCTCATTTCTATGGCGTTTGCTGCCTCCAACATGTTTGTCTTGATCCGACTCATTGCCGGTATTGCATTCACTATCGCTGGTGGCTTGGTCGGTTTCGTCGCCATCTCTAGCGTCAAAAGTCCTCGTGCCGGTATTATCTTCTACCTTTATCTGGTCGCGCTGACCATCTACTTCTCGACATTTGCTTCTCTCGCAAGCTTCAGTTACCCCGGTTCCACATTCCTGTCGGGTCGCAAGGCCATCATTTTTTGCATTCCGATCCTTTTCTTGTCCCCCATCATCACCACTTTCACCGGGCACGACTCTGCGATCTATCTCGCTGTAGTCTACGTTTTCATCGGCGTATTGCTACTTTGCCTACGATCAACTACCTCCAAGTGGGTGACTTGGTATCAATCTTTGCGACGGACGGATGATACCGAAATTCGCAAGTGGTACATCTCTGTTCACGGAAACAACGATGAGAAAGTCTTCGGAAGTATCAGTGATCCAGCTGCACTCAAACTCGCCCGAGAGGCTCTTCTCGAAGATGTGATGGCTGAGAAGAACCGCGGACTGTTTTCAAGGTCAACTACAGACAAGCTCGTCAAGGAGATTGCTCGCGATTGGGAATCCACCAACTTCCTTCTCGACTGGTACTGCCGATATGCCGATGTTTCCCGTCCAATCCCATTCAGTTCTGGATGGAATATTCAAACCAAAGTTGCTTTGGATGTCCTGCGTAACTCGCAGAAAGGACTCAAGCTACACAATGCCTTCGTGCACTGGCGCCAGTCCAGTAAGGAGATAGGCTGTGGTATTCTCTACTTCGTCATTGCTCTTCTCGACAAGTGGATAGAAATGCTGAGCGGTGATAAAAATCAGCCAACCCTCGGTTTTCTCGGGACTAACACTTCTACCCTCACGGCTGGTACCCTCACGGCTAGTAGCGTTGAGGCTACCGCTGATACTTCGTGGAAGCGTATGGCTACTGGATTTGCTTTGGCATATTATCTGATCGGCGCTGTTCTCATCGACACCAAAGCCCAAGAGCTTCATGAAGCTATTGGCGGCAAAGCACCAGAGGTCATTAGCGAGTCCAAACATATTCGCCCCTTGCAAAAGGGGGATATCCAATTCCGACGAAAGGTCTACTGGCGAACTCTCTTCAAGTTTCTCCTCTGGCATGTGTGGAGTCTTGCTCTGTCTACCGCTTTGCTTTGGACATTCCAGGCATCTAGAGATGCTGTGACTATGTTCTTCGCATACGTGCTCGCCTACACTGGTCTCATCTGGTACCAATACACCAAGATCTTTACCGGTCCCCACGCATTGAAACCACTCCTCACGGGAATTTTAATCGGATTGCCCGCTGGAATTGCTTTGAAAGTCTGTCTTCCCAATACCTTGAGTGATTATTCGCAAATCATTGGTCTAGGAAGTGCAACTTGGATTGTTGCCATTCTGTCCCTCTGGAATGCGAAAATGGGAATGCCCAATAAAGTCGACTCACTCGTTGAGATGGGCAAGATCTACCATGCTTTCACCACACCGTGGTCCGATCCTGAATGGTCCCAGCAGGAGCTCCAGAGCTTTTACGAGAGAGTATCCCTCCTTCCAGCTGACTCCCGTTTCCAAGTTCTGCTCAGTGCCCACCCCGGAATTGAGATCAAGCAGGCCCTAGTCAATCGCAGAGAGGAGATTCGTGTTGATGAAGCCTTCCCAAATTCCAAAGACATTATCACTCAAGCCTTGAGTCTTTGGGAGAAGAACGAAATACAAATCGAGCTTGTGCCTCAAGGTTCTCTCGGCCCCAGCATTCGAGCCTTAGGATGCTATAACCAGGGCATACTTCATTTGGCTATCAGTGTGAGAGGTCTACACGATGAGCGACTGGACATTAGTGCCAATTGCCAGATCATCGCGGAGACCATGGTACACGCGGTCGCAGAAATGATGCTCGGAGTCCCTCACGATTATGCCATGCTCTCTGAGGCAATTGTGTCCGGTGGTGTCTCACACACCATGGCTCGCCAACTCAGAGAAGAAGCCAATACTACTCTCGTCGTGCGGTGGGCAAAAAAGGAACTTCTGCGTCAGCTTTGCCTTGGCTTCGAGCCAGACCTTCATTGGGATAAGTTGACTGTCAAGGTCCGAACTGCTCTACTGAATCGCTGTCTGGGACTTCACGCCGATCTATCCATCGGCCAACACCAGTGGCTGCGAAAGCGACTCTGCCAATTTGACTCGCAAAGTCTTGATGTTCATATTGCGCGATGCAATCTTGGAGCTGCCACTGCGATCAGCATCCTCGACTACGCTCACTATGGAACTGGAGAGGCGGCTGTGCCTAAGGATCCTGAGACCACCGAGTACATCCCCTATGTCCCCAGGAAGCTGCCAGCGGCTATTTCATTCCTTCGCGCGCCATTCAGTTATTCTTATCACACGCTTGGCTCCATTGTCAAGTTCATCGTGGTTGCCTTGCTCGCCGATCCCGAATTTCAGAGAGAGTTTGATCATGTCAGTCAGTCTCTACCTACATTCGTGCGTGTACCATCGGTATTTCTGCTCAACACGGTCTGGGTCTATGCCAAGATCTGTCAAGATCTGGGATTGTCTTTCTTCTTGTTCCACGGCCGCAAAAACGTCAAGCAACTGTGGGAAGAGACCAAATCTATGACAGTCCACATCAAGAAGAGCAGAGTCCTCATTCAAAGCTTGGATGGAACCTTTACAGCTTTCAGGCACCAGGAGACCGATGGAGGCTTCAAGTTCTACCAATACGTTGGTGAGCACAAGACAGAGCCGAAAGAGGCAAAGGCCCTGAAATACATCAGCAGCTATTCCAGTGGTATGCTTCTTCTTATCAGACAAGAATTCCAGGGTGGAAAACTCATCAATGAGTACCATTACGACTACCACACCCCAGGAAAGAAGGGATTCAAACTGGGCAAATCTTCGACCAGCCGCACTCCCCTTGGCCGACGCTGCGTTCAGGGCCAGAATCATCTTCAGAGCATCGCTTATGACCCCAAGGGTCTCGTTGACAGGGGTTCGTACATGAAAGATGGAAACTTGATTAGCTTCAAGTACCACTATCGCAAAAATCCCCGTTTCGGTGACGAACTCCTACGCGCTGAATTCTCCCTGTCTCACATCACTGCCAATGTCGCCTGGTGTGCACCTCCTCTTCGTCATCCCGAAAAGCACAACCGATACATTCCACACTCGAAGGTCATGGAAGCGACATTCGTCCAACTCGGAAACGCCGATGTCTATGAGAGTCGCTGGCTTTATGATCACAAGTTCCACCCGACCATCTTCACCACCATCAATGGAATGAAGGTTCAAACCCCGCCCATGATTGAGCACGATTATCTCGGTGTTCTGGCCAAGCCGAAATATACCAGCTTCTTGCATGACAATCCTTTCCTCTTCTGCAAGAGTCTCCAGTCCAATGTCTTCACTCGTCTCTTTGGTCTGACCAAGAAGCGTTTCGCTGTCTCCACATCCAGGGCTCGCTCACTCATGTGGAAGGCATGGAAGGATCGCACTGATCTTGATGGTATTGTCGTTCGCTGGATGGATGATCGTCTGCTCCGCAAGGATAGTGTTCTTGCTCCTTACTGGCGCAGCCGCGACTGGGGTAACCTGACAAATGCTAAGAAGTATGTCAACCTTCGCGCAGATGCAATCATGGCTAGCACGGACCTCGATGACAACATTTCGAGCTGGACACCTCTGGCTGTCAAAATCAGTGATCTGATTAACTTTGGCCCTGGAGGTGATGCCGTTGTGACAACTCGCTCCAAGGACTTTGCCAACGACACTGAGGAGACTCTACACGTCATGGCCGCTGACAATGGTACTTGGCCCAACGAGGGTGGTGGTGTCTCTGCTTGTCGACGAGACATGATCAATTCTCTTCGCACTATCAAATGGCATATGATTTGCGAGTCTGCAAACGACTTTGGTGTGCCCAAGCATCAGACCGAGCAGAACATTCAGTCCTTGAAGCTTATCCCTCTTTGGGGCTTGGACTTCCTCACTCCCACCCACGGTCTCTTCCACAACAAGCTGGATTCGGAGGTAGACAACGTCACATCCGCTAGCGAGTTTGACATCAAGATGAACTTCATTCCAATTCTCACTGCATTGGTGAAGGGTGCTCGCGCTATTGACCTGTCCAAGGCTGACATTCACCGTGCAACTCGGGCTCTGGTCAACCTCAACACGTACTTCCAGGAATCGCGCCACTGGTCTCAAGTATGGAACAGCGAGACTGTGAAGCAAACTTGGCGTGATCTCTGGCTCACGCCAGACATGCCCAATGCAGTTCCGTCTCGTGAGTGGATGGACACTGAGCTTCCCACTCTCTCGTCTCTCGACGTTGCGCTGGAATTATGGTACCGCTACCTCTTCATCTTCTCTATTCCAGTCCCCGACAAGATCCCTGGTGTCTTCCAGGCTTCTCACCACAGTGTCAGCGCTTCATACGGTGTTGTTTGCAAGATCAAGCGTAACTGCACGCTTCAAGTCTGGGACCACGCCATCGCCTGGAGAGAAACAAATCTGTGTCTCTCATCTGCCTTGTGCAAGCTTTCTCCGTTCGTTCGGAATGCCCTTCTTGGATTGATGCGCATCACATCTGTTCTGACTTTGCACCACGCGGACATCATTCTCCCTTGCGCTGATTTCTTCAACCCCGGCTGGGAGGTGGAGATTGGAACTTGCCAGGGTACAATTGAGCATCGAAATACCTTCCGTCGCAAGATCGACCCCGTCGTCAATGGCATCACTGACATGCAAAAGTTCGCCCCGGTGAAAGAGATCAAGTCAGAACGCCCGACCGTCACCATGCTTTCTCATGTTTGGTATGCGAAGGATATTAAAACTGCGCTACTAGCTGCCGATATCATCATCAACCAGTGGAAGTTCGATGAGTATCACCTCGACATTTACGGTGCCATTGACAAGGCTCCGACTTATTCAACCGAGTGTCAGGAAATCATTGCTTCCAAGGGTCTCCGAGGTCGCGTCACCTTGAGAGGCACGGCTGACCCAATGAAGGTTCTCGAGAACACTTGGCTCTTCCTCAACTCATCCCTGTCTGAAGGTCTTCCTCTTGCCTTGGGCGAAGCTGCCTTGACAGGAGCTCCAGTCGTCTGCACAGACGTGGGTGCCTCACTGCGCGTTCTCAGCGACCCTGATGACTTCTCTCGTTTCAGCGCAGTCGTCGCGCCCAATGATGCCCAAGCACTTGCAAAGGCTCAAATCTCCATGCTAGCTATGCTCGGAGAGTGGAGCCAATACAGCGATGACAGTGAGAACGAGCCTCTGCCAGTCCTCACATCCTCACCTACCGCCGAGGAAGTAGCCGCCATCACACGTCGCATGTACTCGAAGAGCGAACAGCGCCGGAAACTGGGCATGATGACTCGCAATATCGTCCAGAAGTCCTTCAGCGGCGATCGCTATCTCCGCGAGCACGAGCAAATGCTTTGGATCGGAAAGTCCGCCAAAATGATGGCAAGTCGTGCAGCCGGCGACGCCATGGAGCCCACCGACATCGCGACAGCCGTCGAGCAAACCGCCACCGTCGAAGAAGAGGTCATCACCATCCCCCGAAACGCGGTGCACTCCTGGCGCTCCTCGACTATCTCGGGCATGTCGACTCTGTACAGTTCGGTCTCGAACTACCCTCTTCAAAGTTATCGGAACCGTCCCGTCTCCGATATTTCTGCCCTGAGCTTGAGCAATGTCTCCACGGATACTGAGTCTTTCGCTCGACTGCCTGTATTTGCGCCCCGGCGTTCTATGCTGTCGCAGACTAGTACGCCGGGTAACATGTCGCCGGCTGGAATGAGGTCGCCAAATTTGCGAGCTTCACTGGCTGGACAGCGTCGGCCTCATTCTAACGCACGCTCTATCTCGACCGCTGGCAGAGAACAGTTGCGTGGATTGAACCGAGAGGATCTGCTCCAGTACCGCAATTCGGATGTCAGCACTATCGTGAGAGAAGACTTCTTACGCTCTGGTATACATTTCAGTCACTGAAAAGACTGTATATGAATTTCCTCACATACTGTATATTTCTTTGTTTTGTACTTAATGTTTATTTGTCAAGATATCCTCTTTACCGTTTCTTTTTCTCTTTATTTGTCATTCCAAGCTTGGCTCAGATTGCATTCGACTCATTCCATATTACCAAAAGGCTAGTCATAATAGTGAACAAAAGTCAATGCGACTCTTAACTTTGAGCCTTTATTCAACTAGGGTATGCGAAATCCAGGTAGTTCCTTTATCATAATATTACATTAGTTGGAAATTTCCACTTGCTCATATAGGCGTATCCCTGGTCGTTAGTTATGCGAATCGAGCACGAGGACAATATACAGCCCTTACATCAGCAACGGACCCAATAGGTCTCGCCAGGCTATCTCTCTTTACTGAGGCTATCCCTTGCCTCTTTTTCTCCAGCATGACAGGCAGCATCCGGCGGGGCCGTTCCAGTGCACACAGTGTCAGAAGCACTACGCTTCAAGGGAACTCTTGGTAGATACATGAGAAAAAAAAACACAGCGACACAGGGCCGTTTGTTGGTAAACACTGTCCACGGATACACCACCAACGATATTAGGCTGCCGCAAAAGAAACTTGAGAATTTCCTCATGACCTCCAGCCGCAGGCAACATAGCTCCAAGACTCTCTCCTGCCAAGCTTGTTCTTATACGTGATATAATAGAGAGCTAGTCCTCCACCATATCTGAAATAGCCGAGTATGCTGAATAAATCAAGTTAACCATCATTAATATTTGTAGAAACTTACGACAATTTGGAACTATCAACGCCCCTCAGACCCAAGTAGGTCAGAAATGAACTGTAACACCCCTGATAATTTCAGCCCTCTGTGATTATCTCTAAGAGAAACCTAGCCTATACCTCGATAAGATGGCTACATTTCTTGAGGATGAGTTTCGGACCATAGTTATAGCAAGATTCAAAACAGTTTCCCCTCTAGAGACTTAGTCTTTCTCTCGTAGAGGGTAAGAACGGCTTTTACGATAGAATAATCTAGCCATAATCTATTCCGCAAATTATTGGTCATTAATTTACCCGGTATCCCAGTACGGTTTAGCTTAATTATTGAAACAATATATATGTGTCCAGAGGTGAGACTAATCTAGAATTTGTCTATACAATCTCTAGTATTAGGAGAGCCTTATCACAAACCTTGGAAGGATTGGTTGAGAAATACTGCACGTCAACATACAAGAGAGCAAAATACCAATTATGAGATTATTATCTGTATAATCTATCAGACTTCAAATCGTACTACCTCATATATATTGATAAATCTAGATGGAATGAACGTATTGGGTTCAGATGGATAGGTTAGGCGCCATTTAGTACGGCCCCTTTACAAATAATATAATTCTATTATGATCGGAGATACTAGATATCACACGTGTATATGCAGGATAGGATTATTCTCTCATGTATCCTCTGTGGTTCTACAGATACAACCGTATCTGAAGACTTCATAGTCTAGTTACTTCACTACTGCGGAAAATAGCCAGAACCTAAATCTGTCCTTGTTATAGTTGATACGTTTTTTCACTGGTCGGAGTAACTTATAAAATGTGTGAAGACGCAGGAGTAACGCTGATCTATTTACTACCGTACTCGCCGGACCTGAACTCAATCAAAGAGTTTTTTTGCTGAACTCAAAGGAAACATTCGGCGTAACTGGAATTACAACGAAAAAGACCCCGAGAGAGGATTCGATGCCTTCTTTGAATAGTGTATCAATGTGGGGGGGTGCAAAATAGGAGAGCGCCAACAGCCATTGTCGTCATGCGGGCCTGAAGATCGAACAGGTCTGAGGAGCTTGTTAGACCCAGGCTGGGTCAAGTTCCTCACGAATAACCAGTCTAGCTGACTCATTGAACCAATGTTAATCGTGGATCTGTCTCGCTGATGCTCTCGCCGATGTTCAAAATACAACCCACTTCCAATGATTTCTCCTAGCCTCATTATATCCTCTTTTGTGATGTCAGGGGTCTTGCTATTTTCAAAGTACACTTCTTCCAGCCCTTCTTGCAGGTCAGGCCCGGAGCTTTCCGCAACCACGGCGTCCCCTTGATCCATCCCATCCCGAATCTTTTACCATCTTTTAGGTGGATCGTCACTCGCCATGTCTTACATTTGATTGATGAGAATTGGGGTGTTATTAGGAAGGTATCAATAAGTTGCTGGCCAGTGAAAAGTTCAAAGAGCCGTCATATTTATCAATTTAGTCGTGTATAGCGTTGGGATTTCTTGTAACATGCAGCCCATACTCCACAAGTCAACATGATCAATTTGATCCTGAAATATAACTTCGGGTGCTCGAACAGGCAAAGGTATGTGCACTGCATGAGGAACGGCAGTACATGGAAATGATTCTCCGGAGTCAAGTACTTCGATCGACTGAGTCAAGTTGCAGAACGAGTTCGGTATGAGGTGGGCTTCACGATATACTGCGGCACGCCGAGCTCAAAGTCTTTCGTTTTCTCATCGCGCCTCTCAACCTCCTCCTTTCGGAAATATTCGCGATGACCTGTAGCCCTTCTGGTAACGATGCAAATCAACTTCAGATAGCCGACCCATAAGATTGGCAGTCAAGTAACAACATTATGCTTATATAATAAAATTCAGATACCTGACATGATCTAATCTTATTGATTATCCTAGATCTTGTGCAAACTGTTTGGAAAAAACCTGTTGACATCTTAAAGCAGTAGGGAAAAGCGAAACTGGCAATCCTTTGTGCTAGTGCTGACATCCGACATTTCAATCCAAATTACCCATTTAAATGCCGTACTCAATCCCGGAACCAGGGCTGTAGGCCGAGACGAACAACCGGCAGCTATATGGGGTCGTTCTGCGGGGTGATAAGTGGGTACCTCCTCCACACGGATATCTGGGCCGAGCGGAATCCACGAGCTTGTGAGCTTCCGCTTACACATCAATTTACCTTCCTTGGACAGTTTAGCTATCTTCAGATCAAAGAAAAACAAGTGTGATTGAGCCATGACCAACTATACGGAAATTAAATGGATAAGGCTAACGTTCATACAAGCTAGAGGGAGCAAGGTATAGATCTTTCTAGTTTCACATAATTGATAGCAGCATTTCGTACGTATGGGCAAACTGTTAATTACTGAACCTTTTGATCATGAGAGCCGGACTAGCTGCGTACAACAGCGTGTTTTTAGCATAATACACAAAAAAAAAGTGATTGGTTGGTAACAGATTGACAACTTTTGAGCGGTAAGTGGAATTTTCACTTGATTGCTATCTGCAAGAAACTAGTATCCATCTAAAGATCTGGCATTTCTGGTTGGTGTTTAGAATCAAACTATGAATGTTTTGGTTAGCCAAAGGAGCACTTTTGCACTAGATCTCGTTATTCACACGGGTGTTGGTCTCGATATCCATTATTAGCCCTTCGACCCCAAATACAACAAAGCTCTTGCTCTGGTTTAGCTCGTCTTGCGTGTTATCATAGAACACCGCTTGTGCCTTGCGGACAGCGGTCACTGAAGCGCGATCCTTGAGTAAGATCTTGTAAACAAGGTGGTAAGTTGGCATGCTCGAGCCGCCAAAGTAGGCAGCCAAGTCCATTCCTTCGGGCTGTATACCGATGTTCACAGACAGGCCCCAAACTTCAGATGCCGCATTCGCCTCAAGGGCCTCGGTAAGTTTAGGGGACAGTGAACGCTCTAGTTGTACTTCATTTCCCGATTCTTTCGAGCCAGACAATCATAACATCGCAACGACCCTTTTCCCTTCCGTGGGAATTTGCCCGTTCTCATGATTCCTTCTTCCAGTCCGGAGGGGAAGCGATTTTTCGCGGGCCATCATAGGAAGTTGCGCTTCCATTATCGCTGAAGCTCAGTGCGTCGGGACCGACCTGTGTCTTGACGTTTTCAGAGGTAAAGACACTCTTCAGATGCACCCAGTCACGATAATACAGCTCGGTAATATCATCACGGCCAAACCATGGCTGATTGGCATTTAAGGCATCCGGTTGTCCACCAAAGGCACCATCAAAAAGGTGAATCTGGATATGTTTGCTGTTTTACTTTTTTTTTAGTTTTATATAAGCATCTTCATGAGCCAGTTACTGGAGCAAGCAAAATTCAGGAACTTACTGTGGCTTGATACCAGAATCTTACGGTGAATCGGAGATCTTACCATGGACTTGAAAATGATGGATCAGGAACTCCTTCCGTGTCATATCCGGCTTGCGCCTAATTACCACGATCCGTTTAATAGACTTTTCTTTTACAGACATTTTTCCAAGGGCTGAGCTTGAGTTGAGGCAGCTTTCCCGTAATAAAACTGTGAACAAAACGAAAGAGTATGATATTTACAGCAATTCTGCAAATATCATACTATCTTGTATTAGACCCAAGTCTCCCTGGTCCTTGAAGAATCTCGTCATGATTACTTCTGGATCTTAAGATGACCCCGCATCACCGCAACTGCAAATCGGTCATTTCAGTAGGTCGAACCGTGTACACGGCCTGTGTGAACCTCGGTCCAAGTTTTGCGCTACAGAGAAACGCATATTTGGAATGTTTAAATCCAAATACCTAACTGCCACGCATGCATCACTGGTTGCAATAACTCAATCCCGCCTCTCTGGCTCCCTACTCCTCTGACGAGGCTGGTGCGGGGGGTGGGGGGTGGGGGGTGGGGAGAAGTGGTGTAAGTGGTGTAAGTGGCAAGATCTGCCTTCATGTCCAACCTTTGCTTAAAAGAAATCCTTATTTAAATGAATGACTAGAAAATTCCGTGTACTAAGACAGACAGCGAGTCATCTCATGATGTAGCCTATAAATAACCGATACAGAGTAACCGGAACAGCAGAATAATGAACGGCTTGAGGTCGGTAGCAACTACTTTAGCATGATCCTCACCCCGCCATTTGCATATCATCTATACCGCCAAGTCATAGTGTGGTGGGGCATACTAGCCCGATCCGGTGCGACGGTGCACCTGATTGGACTGGCATGACATTCACCCCGCTGGATAGTGGGTCCGATCTCAGGAAAGAATGTACGCATAGCAGAACTACTCCCTATCAGCCGATCGACATCCGAGCCTTGGCTTAATTCAACATAAATTTAGCACAAAGACCTATAAGTACCATCTTAGAGCCTTTCGTCTAATTCACCGAACTATCCAAGTTCCAGTCTGCACTTGAGAAAACTATTTCTCTATTCTATCACATACAACATGGCTTGTACCCGTTCGAAATATCAAACCTCTACCTCCGTTGTAGCAGGCTATACTCGCACAAAAAATGCTTATATCCCCATGCGGGATGGGGTTGAATTGTGTGCTGACCTCTTCTTACCTTTATCTGCGGCCAAAGAGGGTAAACAGGTGCCCGTGATCTGTAGCATGGGGCCCTATGGCAAGGACATTCACGCCTCCAAGTTTGGGCTCCCTAAGACCCCTATTTACGCAGAAATGTACAAGCACATTAAGCCATTGGGACCAGATGCTGCATTTGAGCTGTGCGAACCTACTATTTGGGTACGTGGACGATTTAAGTATTCCAATCAGTTCCTAATGAAAGTGCGCAGTGTCGAGACTATGGCTACGCTTTACTCCGGGTAGATGTAAGGGGCATTGGAGGTAGTCAGGGAAAACTCGATCCCTTCGGTCTTGAGCGCTCTGAAAAAATCCAAGAGGATGCAGAGGGGCAAGGTAATTCAGCTAAGCAATTCCCTCATTCTTTATAATAAAATATCGGGACTGACTTTGCCTGCCAGATCTCTATGATGTTGTCGAATGGGCTGCTGTCCAACCCTGGTGCACAGGAAAAGTAGCTTTCTCCGGCATCAGTTACTTCGGCATGGTTGGCTACTGGGCTGCAATGCAGAAACCCCCCGCACCTTGCCTGTGTCATGTCATACGAGTCCGCATGCAGTCTGTATCAAGCGGCCCGAAGAGGTGGAATATACAGCAATAACTTCCAGTCCCACTGGTATCACAATATTGTTGTTCCATCCCAGGGTGGAAAACATGACGGTGTTCTCACAGAAGAACAGTTGGATGCCAACCGTGTGGAATATCCTGAGCTGCTCACTCAGACAGAATACCCCACAGACGGTGCGTGGGCGGTGTTAGAGAAGATCCGCAAGTTGTCGGATATTGAAGTACCATTCTACTCCGCAGGGAATTGGACTGATCCTGAGCTTCATTTACCCGGAAACATCCGCGCTTTCAACGGTATCTCATCTGAATATAAATGGTTGGAAATGCATACTGGAAACCACCTGGGCGCGTTCTATGAGCCAGATCATATTGCGTTTCAAAGGAAATTTTTGGATCACTTCCTCTTTGACAAGAAAGAAAATGGCATGCTCGATGTTCCTCGCATCCGGTTGTTACAGCACCACGGTACGGAAACTCTCTATCGCGAAAACGAGGTTTCTTTCCCGCCCCCAGATGCAGAGAACGTCACTTTCCACCTCACCCCAGAGAAGATGTTGTCCTTCACCCCACCATCCGGGAGCAAAGAGTCTTTTGCCTATGCCGGATTCAAAGAGTCTCTCCAATTTCTCTTGGAATCTCCATTCCCAGAATCATTTGAGCTTTTGGGGTCACCTTTCCTCGAGCTAGAAGTTTGTACACACGCTAAAGATCTTGATCTCTTCATTTATCTCCGGGCTGTGGACGTTGACGGAAATGTGATCGTACTTCGTGGAAACCATGGCGAGCCGATGGACAGTTTCGCCCGCGGATATTTCCGTCTCTCGCACCGTGATGAAGTTGCAAAAGACTTTGTTGAGGAAAAGGTCCTTGCTCAAAAACCCATGGCACGCTCTGAAGTTACACAAGGGAAAGTTTACTCGGTTCTCGTTCCTCTGTACCCGGCGGCATTTCTGTTTGACCAGAACCAGAGGTTCAGTCTCGAGATCGGTTCAGTCAACACTCCTAGCACGATTCCTCCGATGCGTCATGAAGGTGGCGATAGGCTTCCAGAACGGTTTCAGGGCGAGAACGTCATATTTTCTCATGGAAAACTGGTTCTACCCCGTGTGCGGCGATGAGTCAGATGTTTGTTTTTGAAGGGTCCAGGTTCTCTCACGCCAGGAACACAGCAGTTTGAGGACGATACAAGTATTACTAGGATGTCATAACGGCCTTCATAGCAAAACAAGAGTGCCTCTATCTTTTTACGTTGCCGAATTATATGAGTGTCTGACAGATAGCCGAACCTTTGGAAGGTACTCTCTTAATTTATGAAGTCATTCGAAGATTGTTGATTCCTCCTGTCTGCAAGCACGAATTTTGGCTCTAGCTATCTCCCGCAGTGCTAGAGAAGCCACTCGATGAACGATTCGAGGAAAAAACGTTTGAAAATAAAAGACGAATTTATACTGTCTTAACTATAGGCAAGTAGCATGTAGAAGCGTTAGCCTTTTGTTTTATGACTAGTGGGTGGCTGCGTCGGAGACGGGAAGAACGAGGGGCAAGAACGGGTGGGAGAGGCGGGAATGCTATGTGGAGGCTGAACGGTCATGCCAGGTATATAAGAGATAAATAGATATAGGCAAGGTACTAGGTGTATAGAAAAGATTTTACCTAATCTTTGAAATGGTACTCTACTACCTTCTGCTACCTAGAATCCCCTTAGCTATAACTAGAGTATTAATTTCAGTTAAAGCTAGTAGATAATAAGTATATTAATTAGAAGATAATATATCCTTGTACCTTGGTTTATAATCAAATATAATACATATTTATATGTTAGGATTAGTATTATGATCTGGATTAGGGTTAGGATTAGATATCAAAATAAATAGTAGTAATATTAGTAGTGAAGTAGATACTAAAGTAGGTAGTAATATAAGTAGTAATATTGTCACGGTGTGAGCCCTCGTACGGATAAGGACCCCGTATGTGAGATTATGTGACAAGTAGACTTACGTCTGATCCTGATTTCTGCACAAGCGTAGCTCCTTAAGCTACGTTCTGGTCAACATTCTGTCCCGTAGCCCATCAATATACATCCTGATCCTTGTGTCCTGCTTGTTCCTACCATACTGTCGTACGATCCTGCCTGACTAGCTCCTGATACTTATCTGCCAGGCCTGCACATTGACACTTATCTTAATTTATAGTATATTATAATTATAAGACCTGAGGTCCTACAAGCATTAGGGAAGGTCTGAATGCCTTCAAGAAGTAACTATTAGGTGATAGGTATAAAAGCTTGGTGATTAGCTTAGTAATCAATAAGAGAGGTGATCGAAAATAAAAGAAGATGATGAAGAAGGTAAGATTGCTGAGGAGTGTAGGTAGACCTGGCAAAACGGATAGGTACCTAGGTATGCCCATGGTATAACTACCCCTACCACGGGTACAGTTGTGGATCTTATACCCGTACCCTTACCCTGTAAGAAGAAGAGTTCTAGATAGCATGGAATCTACGTACTGATCGTCACCTGGGAAGTGTTGCCGCAAAATTCAAGTTTGATATACAACCAAGGCAATATGCGTGGGCTCTCGTAGCCACTTATAGCCCTGGAGTAAGCACTCGGGTAGATCATATTCGGGTAGAGAATGTGTTGAAGCTGGCAAGTTGCTCTTGAGGATATTTTATCGGAGTCTCGACTAAATTATGAAGAACAGGTCCAGAAAAAATATACTAAAAATTTTTGGCGCTCAGACATGAGGTAGATTTACAGGAATGTCCCATCAGAGCCAGTTCACGCACCGCACCCAATCCAGGCTGTCTACCTTGCTACCCACCACGACAACTGCTGTGAATGTTGTCCGAAGACCGAGCAGCCTCCGTAATAGGTTCGCAAGATAGAACAGGGCCCCGAATAGAGCACGGACGCCGCGACAGAAGTCACGATGAACTAACAAGTAGTCCAGGGCTGGTGCACGAAGCACATGAAGAATGGTATTCGATATATCGCATCCGATACAGAGCTTATTCACTTCCGAAGAAGGAATTTCAAGGCATGAATCTCGCCTTGCGCTCCACCTGACAGCGCGAATGGGTAGTTGTTTCCTAATGTGAGATAATAGACCCCTAGGGAGGAGTAGGTAAGTAAGTGGGAGTAGTAGAATAGAATAGAACAGACGTCATTAATGAGCATTGGTATCATCTATGTCGCGATCAGGTAAAGATCCGGGCTCGCTTGACCGGGCTGCCCATGCGCAGAGACCCAGCCCCGCTCGCCATGCCGTTCAACAGTCGGCCCATTCCCTCCACATCGAGCTCGCCTCGTTGCAGCATCATCTGATCCGACTCTGCGGCGACTTCCTGCTTCGCGGCCTGCGCTGCTGTGCTCTCGTCTGACTCGACCAGTCGAGGAGCGAGGATCATGATCTGATGCTCAGCAGCGACGAGAACGTCGAAGGTCTGCCGATCTGCCGCCCGGGAAAGACGGGCCGGGGCTGGGAGGTGGCCGATTGCCTGGAAGTTTTCGCCCATCAAGTTAACGTCCGGGAACGGGGTCACTCGGCATCGGTTGGATGCGTCAAAGGTGCCACTTGCCCGCACGGCATTGCGCCAGAGAGAGATCAAACTTGGGATGGCGGCACTGTAATTACCGTGACGTAGAAGAATTGATTCGTCGGGGAGACCTTCTTGCGATGAGGTTATTTGCCAGACAGAGATTTCGCCGCGGAGTGAAGGGCTCGCAGCGGTGATAGAACCCTTGAGAAGCGTGTCCTCGCGCACTCGCTTGGTGGACGGCGTCATTGGCGCGAACCGTGGTCGCTGCTGCTCCGCATCTGATTGTGTATTAGACGGCGGTGCCACGATACGACCGCTAACTGCGTATGTAGTCAGTGAGCCACCAGTGACGCCTTGTACGCTCGACTGTCGGTGCAAAGGGCCCTTCATAGTACCAGGCCCAGCACCTTCGATATCCCAAACGCCCCACTCGCCGTCTGCGAGCAGGACCATAACAGCTCGTCCACCAAGGACCCAGTTCGCATCAATAATGGTCTTGCGACGGGGAATGCCTGCGGAGACGTGCTCAAATCCAGGGTAGAGACTGATTAGCCATCGACCATCTGTGTCGATGCTTTCGTAGTCCTCGTTTGCGCTAGATGAACGGCGCGATGATTTTGAGGACTTCGGGGCAGAAAAGCAAGAGTAGATCTTGACGCAGCCACTGTGGAAAGCCACCAAGAGATTCGAGTGACGAGCCGAAGGGTATGAAGAAGGATTGAAAGTAATCTTTTGAGCTGGTGATGGCAAGGCCCGTCGTTGAGTCACAATATCTTCCTCGATGATGCGATGTTGGACATCATTGCTGGATGAGTCTTCTCGGATTGGAATTCTGTTCAATAGAAGGGCGCCTGATCCCTCGGCGGAGTGTGTAGCGACCAGAAGATCCCACTCTCCTGACCCTGTCGTCCGGCTGCGCGATTTGCGACGATCGTGTTCCTCTTCAAGTTCCCGGCAGGTAAATGCAAGGGATACACCGCGTGGAATATCTTGGTGAGTCACGCCTCCATTAACAGTGAAACTCTGGACGTTCCAACTTGTCATATCTGTCTGTTCAGGGTGAGGCGGAGTAAGCGGAAGCGCGATAACCCGCGTTGAAAGATCGGAGCAAACAGCTGCAACCACAATCATATTCTTCACCATGGGCGGAAATGGATCGAGCGGCGAGCGCGCTTCTTCGGGTTGAACACCAGGGACAGCAATGTCGAGCACTCGGCTACCCAAGGGGATATCGATCTGGCGGAGGATGGCCTCAAAAGGAAAGGCAGGGTCGACTTCGGATTCTTCACTGCTGAAATCGTAGCTAGGCTTCTCTTGGGATGTAGACACTTCTGGCGCATCTTCTTCGTCAGAGTCGATGATCATGACTGAATCCCCTCCATTGTTCCCAGTGCTTTTGTCTTGCGCAGAGGGCTCAGGCCGTTTCAATTCTGAGAATTGCCTTCCGCCTCTCCAAATGACTTTCAGACCAGTCTCATATCCATAAATAATGATCGAAGAGCCGTTACGAGCTCGAATGGGATAGGCTTTGACTGCGTGGACACGATGGGGGAGTCGATAGCTAAGAATTTGCAAAGGAGATCGCATTAGCCGCAGAACCTGGTCGCCAGTATTAGGTAGCAAAATCATTTACCTGAGCTGTAAGCCATCTTCTCGAGATCGAGCTAGAGGAGTAGTAGGAAAAGAGGGCATTGCGCCGGTAGCAACGCTGACAGGGAGCTGAGCTTCAAGCACAGGCGCCGAGTGGCACCGCAGGGATGATGAGCGGGCTCAATCTCGAGATACCAGGTTCGTGAATTCGTGTAAACGAGACCCAAGTTTACAACAAGGGATAAGTGTGGCCTGGAGCGTAGCGGTGGGGGTTGTGGTGGGTGGTTGAGAGGGAGGAAGTTGTTGTGGCAGCTTTGGAAAAGAAGTTGGGGCAAAGAGCAATGCCAATGCCGATCCAAGTCCGCCCGCGTTCCTGCGCGTCTGCATCCTCCCACTCCGACCAGCATCCCGCAACAAACATTGACGACATCATCACCCGACATGCTATCCTCGTGGAGCACACTCGACTGAAGCTCTACAAAGATCTTGGCCATGGAAATATTTCCTCCAGGTCGAGCTGTCGGAAAATCATATGTGACGACGCTGTACGATTATTGTTGCGACTACTAAACAACCCACCATGGCATCCGTTCGCTCACTCGGCCTTCACAAACCCTCGGCCGTCTCCTTTTTGGTTACTGAGGGACTCCTTCCCCCCGATCCTTCCGAAAATCAATATCAATGGACAACATGTGTGGACCCAAATGGATTGACTGGGCCCGTGGACGACGAGTTGGTGTGGACATCGCATTGCGTGGTATGGACTCGCGCAGGGATGGTAAAGAGAATTTTCCGATTGGATCCTGAGAAAGAGGAGATACGACATGCCCTATTCACACAATTTGCGGAGGGCCATGTTAAACGTTCTGTTCACGAAGGTCCTGGCAGTACAAAGCCTCCCACGATTAGTGCCAGGCTAAATGCTCGAGGAGGGAAACAATCCGAAAGGCAATCCGCCGAAGCCACGCGAACAAATCCAGGCCCAAC